CCCGCGCCCTGGGCTCCCGGGAGCGCGCGCAGCTGCCCTCCTTCCGGACCGTCTGCAACCCGGTAGCCTCATCTGGTTGCAACCCCTCAGAGCTTTGGACGAGCTGGTCGGGTGGACGGGACCCTTCTTGAAAATGGGGAAGCCTAGGACGACCCCATACCGTCCTGCAACCTTCAAACAAGCAAACCTGTTCGATGAGATGTTTCACACCTCCGAGGGGGTATGCAAACGACATGTGTTTCCATTTTCTTCCAATCCTCACTGAAGGCCCGCAGCTGGAACGTATGGAAAGCAGCTTTTTTACCTGGTTAGTGACCGCCAGAGGCTTTCAAGTGTTTAATACCACATTTTAAAGTTTTAATGAAATATTTATAATGTAAACTCCAATGAGTGGGAATTATTTGATAACGAGTTTAAAATGTACTATTATATGTGTTGTACATAAAACCGGAGGTCTTCTTTTTTTCTTTTTTTTTTTTTTTGAGAGAATTTTTGCTATAGTGTGCCTGCACTCACCAGAGGGACAAGGGGAATGGCCACACCGCAATTACTTTTTCTCCATTCTCCTCTCGGGATCTTGGGCACTCACGCACATGCGCCCGGCGTGAATTTAAGACACAGATCAGGACTCGAACCGCGGTCGACTACATGGGAGTTCAGCGACATAGCCATTATGCTAACTGCTGGTCCCAAGCAGAGGTCTTTTTTTACACCAAGAGCTTGTTATTGAGCGAAGTAGACACACATTTTTTATTTTTCTTTGCTGTATTTGGGGTTGTGAAGAATAAGATGTGGACTCTGATGCTACTTACTAAACACTTGATCCTGCAATTCTCTAAAAATAAACCTTTTTTTTGTTTGTTTGTTTTATTCCTCTTTGATTATCTCATGGTTATTGTCTTTCCAAGAATCTGAGACTTTTTGCTAAAATGTACTCAGATTTAAGTTTAAAATTTTTTTGACAGGAAAACAGATCCTGCTGGGACATTGATAAATTGCTTTCCTCTGTCCTAACTCGTCTGGTGAACTAAAACAATGTGTGATTTTATGTGGAACAAAGCTTTTACAAGATAAATTGAATCACAACGATAGTATACAAAATAGCTCCCCATTTGGGTTCATTGGAGGGAAAAAACAAAAACTTAATAAGAATTGTTTCCAGAAACATTCACAAGCCTTGTAGTTGGAAAATTGGTACTATTGACATTTGGTTGTGTGAGTGCACACAAGGACCATAGAAAGTTTAAGTGCATTGGGTTACACGATAGCAAATATTTTTAATGTATTTAATTCACCAATAAACTAGACTAGCCTTTCCTAAATCAAGCTAGATTCTTCCACTTTCCCAACTCTCCTTCCTACCAGTATAATAATAATTTTTAAAAGGTGGGATCAGCAGTTAGCATAATGGCTGTCGTCGCTGGACTCCCATGTAGTAGACCACAGTTCAAGTCCTAGACCCAGTGGCTAAACTCACGCTGGGCACATGTGTGTGCGTGCCCAAGATCCAGAGAGAATGGAGGAGAAGGGATTACAGCCCGGCCATCCTGCCTAGGGGGTGATTTCTCACTTTCTGTCTCTCTGTCTCTCTTGGGAGAGTATATGTGCCCTATAGCAAAAACCTCTCCAAAAGAAAAGGTCATCTGTCACAGGAAATTTTTAATTTTTTAAATTAAGTGTTTATCTTGAATACAAGATATGTAAACATAAAAATACGTTAAAGTTGGGCTGAAAATAAGAGTTTATGGAGAGCAAAGACAGAAGAGATAGAAGGAGCAACAGGGAAGCTGATGCAGCTTGGCTTGAGCTCATCAGGAACCCTTACCCAGCCTGCTATGAGGGAGGAGGAGCTGCTGCAGCCTTGCTACAGCCTCAAAAAACCAACACAGGGTTCCTGAGATCCCAGAGACAGAAGGGATAGACAAGAGAAACTGTTGTACCATGTATGCTGATGCAGTTCTGCCCTTCACTGGTCCAGAAGCAATAGAAAGACCCAAGTCAACTGGCTTGAGCTCATTAGGGAATCTCAGCCCAGCCTGCTGTGAGGGAGAAGGGGCTGCTCTGGCCCACACCACACAAACTAGTCTACCACCTTACATTCTACCTCTCTACTCAACCTCTTTCCACCTTGGGAGCAGAGAAGCTTTCTATGCAGTAATCAAACACTCAAAGATAGGACACGAGGAATTCTCTCCACACAACCTCCATAGTATAAAAAAGAGAGAAACTCTGCTTTGAAAACCTGAACTCCAAACTCCTACTCTGGATTCCACACTCCCATCCATAGTAGAGGAGAAAAACTGGCACAGAACTGGTGCACACCACAGGGAAGGGCATGCACACACAGCTATAGAAACAGACTCCATAGAAGTAGGAAGGATTGACTATATTACTAGATAACTAAACATTGAAACAGAGCCTCAAGAAATAGAAGGAAACCAAGAAATACCTCCTCCCACAAAGGAACATCATAACTCTTCACCAGTGATGAATAAAACTAAGAGATTACAGAAATATCAGAAAACGAATTCAGAATATTCATTGTAACACATCAGTGAGATGCAAGGGAAAACAGAAAACCAATTCCAAGGGATGAGAAAATTCTTCCATGACTCGAAGGAGGAACTCCATAAAGAGACAGACACCTTGAAAAAGAACCTAGAACTTCTAGAGTTAAAGAATAAGATGTAGGAAATAAAAACCTCTCTTGAAACTATCAACAGCAGATTAGACCAAACAGAAAAAAGAATCTCTGATCTTGAAGACAAAACTTCCAATTTAGTCCAAGCAACTGAAAAAAATGGAAACCATTAAAAATCAGGACAATATATGGGAAGTCCTAGACACTATTAAATGGCCAAATAACCACATAATAGGCAAAGGCAATAATTCCAGAAGAGGAAGAGACAGGCAAAGACATAGCAAATGATATATTAGCTGAAAACTTTCTAAATTTACAGAGGCATGTGGACATCAAAATCCAGGAAATGCAAAGGACACAAAATAAATGAAAGAAGATCCTCTCCACGGTATAGCCAAATTGGTAAAAAATCAAAGTCAAAGACAGCTTTCCAAAAATAGCAAGAGAGAAACACGAAATTACAAAACTAACATTGGACCTCACAACTGAAACAATGCAGGCAAGGGAAGAAGACACATTAAAAATGCTGAAAAAAAAAACCCACAATTTTTGCCAAGAGTATTATACCTGATATGATTATCCTTCAAATGGGAAGGAGAAATAAAATCACTCCCAGATAAGCAAACACTGAAAGAATTTGCCAAAACTAAACCAGCTCTTTAGGAAATACTTAAGGGAATATAATGCCAGGAAAGTTAAAGGGACATAAATAGAAGTAAGAGGACACAAAACAACTAGAAGAAAAGGATAAGTTCACACATATCCGTAATGACATTGAATGTCAGGATTAAATTTCTCTACTAAAAGGCTAAAAATGCAGATTCAGCTATTCAACACACAAGCAGGTTTAAGTAAAATTCACCAATTATTTAATAGACAGTTGTCTCCACAGGTTTCAGTTTATTTATTTATTGTAACCATTGCTCATTGTATAAAACTAGATAACAGAGGAAGAGCCCAAAATGTTCCGAGTAGCTGAGTCTTTCTTTGGAATGAATTTAAAGAAGGCTAAAACCAAGAATATTGTAAAGCCCCTAAGTCACCAAATCACTGACTTTACCATGTATTCACTTTTAAACATCTCTTCCCAATTTTGTTCTGTTTTTGCTTGAGGACTTATTTCTTTATGCATAGTACAGTACTGTTGTCTTATAAGAACTCACAGTGAGTGATTAAAAATTTTCTTTTTCTGTCTCTTCCTAATGAGCTGTTGTTAGGTATAATTTTTACCTAACTGGACCAATGATACCACAGATCTTTTCAGATTATAAACTCTTATCTCCCACAGTCCTCTACATGAAAATCACAAATTCTTCCTTCACTGGCTATGTTAATAATATCTTTATTTTCAAAAATCCATCCTCATTAATTTATGAGACTTTGTTGTCTGATTTTTAATCAAATTTTTTTGGAACTGTATTTCACAGTCAAGAACATCATAGACAATTCAATACATACTTCCAGAATAACCAATGGAGAGGGTTCTGAATGTTCACAGTGTAATATAATGTTAAATATTGAAGGTGGTGAATATATTCATATCTATATACATAGATTATTATATACTATTATTATATAAATGTATTATATACATCCATTTAAAGAGTAATATAATGTTAAATATTGAAGGTGGTGAATATATTCATATCTATATACATAGATTATTATATACTATATACATCAATTTAAAGATTATTCTCTACACTACAAAGATGTGTAATGATTATCTGTAAATCATAAGTTACAATAAAAATTATCTGTATAAAAAGTTTATGGAGGGGACCAACAGTTAGCGTAATGGCTATGTCACTGGACTCCCACATAGTCGACCACGGTTCGAGTCCCGGACCCGGTGGCTTAAACTCATGCCAGGCACATGTGCATGCGTGCCCAAGATCCCAAGAGGAGAATGGAGGAGAAGGGATTGTGGCATGGCCATCCCCCCTAGGGAGTGACTTCTCGCTTTCTGTCTCTCTGTCTCTCTCTGTCTGTCTGGCAAGCACACGCGCCCTATAGCAAAAACCTCTCAAAAAAAAAAAAAGTTTATGGAGAAATTGGAATTAAATAAAATTTCTCACTGTTGAAGAAAATTTTCTTGGTATATTTGTTTAAAGGGATGATACTAGGAATCAAATTATTGTGATTTTTAAACTCCATTTTGGTATAATCATAAAGAGGGACATAATAGTTTTCCTTTTCAAATGCCAATATTTACAATGCATAGGAAAATTAAAATTTGCTATTCTTTCAACTTATATTGAAAAATGTCATGTAAGAGTGTGCATAACTTTTTTAGTTTCCTTTGAGGTAGTATGATAGAGGAAAAAATCTGGAGATTATAGGTCTAGAAAAAACACCGTTTTTTTCTTTACCCAACCAACTCTCACAAACTCTCAAAAAGATTTTTTAAATTAGGTAAAGGGTAACAGGAAATGTTTATTTTTTGGGGGGTGGTAGTTTGAGAGAGGAATTTTTGCTATAGGGCACATGTGCTCGTGGGAGAGACAGAGAGACACAGCAAGAAATCACCCCCCAGGGGGCTGGCCATGCCACAATCCCTTCTCCATTCTTTTCTTGGGATTTTGGGCAAACAT